TTTTACCTCTGAGGCAGCAACTGCAAGCAATTCTGAGTCTGTTTTGCCTCTGCCCATGACAAGAATCAACTCGCTCCAAAATTCCACAAAATGTGTTTCTTTTATGTTAAAATTTTGCTGTTTCTAGGAAAGCTGAAAGCTAGAATTTTTTTTTTATATACATGTGGATTAAAGTTATATTTGGACCTTTCAGTCCCTTAACAGAATAAAGACATTTCTAAAGAACTCTCCCTGACGAAGTTTCTTATAAGTCAGTCTTTTAAAAAAATACAAAAATCAAACCTTATTTTCCTATACAATTCTTTTACTTAGAAGTTCAAGGTTTTAATTTTAAAGAAACACATTTAAGAGGAACTCTACCTAACACACACAAATCCTGTAACCTAGCTGTTTGTACCTGCACATTAACCTGAAACAAAAAATAAGCACATTTAAGTGAAGCATTTAATCCAAATTGAAGGTTAAAAGAAAATTATTTAAGTGGAGAACAGTCATGCCTTGTCTTTACAGATCTTTTTCAACCCACCCAATCTATAAACACATAGGTTGTATATTTTTAATAAATCAATAATGATGGCGTTACTTTTAAGGATCAAATATAATATTTAAAAATCCATACAACTGGCTCGGCGCCTATGGCTCAAGTGGCTAAAGAGCCAGCCACATACACCTAAGGTGGTGGGTTTGAATCCAGCCCGGGCCCACCAAACAATAATGATGACTGTAACCAAAAAAAATAGCCAGGTGTTGTGGCGGGCGCCTGTGGTCCCAGCTACTTGGGAGGCGGAGGCAGGAGACTTGCTTGAGCCCAGGAGTTGGAGGTTGCTGTGAACTGTGATGCCACAGCACTCTACCCAGGGGGACAGCTTGAGGCTCTGTCTCAAAAAAAAAAAAAAAATCCATACAATTAAATCATGATTCCTCACACTTCACTTTAAATACATGTTAAACCATTTAGGATGTCTTTATTTAATCTCCTGTGAAGCTGCACTCCCCAGTCTTATGTCTGCCTCATGCAATGAAAACAGCTAGATTGCAATCCAACTCAATAAAGATTACAAACCATGACAATTGACCTGCATCAATTAGACGACAAGTGGACAGGCTATGAGGACATCCATATGTTCTGCAATAAAGTACCCACTTTTGAAAGCAAGATTTGATGCTCTCTACATACTTCTATCAATCAAACACAGACACGAAGTTTTTGAAAAATATCAAGTCCACCAAGCACAACATTAATTTAGCACCAAGGAAACGCTCACTTTTAAGGATATGTGGTACTCTGAATAGGTAATAGCTGGACTTATATCTTTCAAAAATTAAATTGGTAATTTTTCCATATAAATATCTCATTTGGAAGTTTAGAAATGTCTTTTCTTTGCACATGGAAAAGAATGTTTAAGTTTATAAAGCATCAACAGTGACAAAAGTGATACTTGTAACATTTTATAGCTACATACTAAATCCCAAGAATTAATTCATAATGTGTTTGAATTTCCAAAAACTGATTGGGATCAGTCTTTTCTTTCTCAGTGCTTAAGTTTTTGCTTTTGAGCAGACTGGGAAGAAGCTTCAGAACAGCAGATACTCAATTTCTGATGACAAACATAATCTTATTTCCTTTTGAATTACTTATAAAAAAAATTCTTCCTCCTCCGGTTTTCTTTAACACAGAATTGAAAACATCCTACATAGAACTTGTTTCTTGCTTTTTCCATTAACATTTTCTCGCGTCTTTATTCCTTCAAATGTAATTTTCAATGGCTACTACAGATGAATTCTGCGGTAATACTGGTGTCATTTAACTGTTTTCTACTTTAGGGATTTTAAATTGTTTCCAAATCTTTTGCTTTTAGGCTGGAATGAAAATTCTCATGGGTAATTATGTTTGCATCTCAGGTTATTCAGGATAAAGTCTAAAAGTTACTTTACTAGTTTAAATAGTAAGAACATCTGTAGAGTTATACATATTAACAAATTGCTTCCTCTAAGCTTATGCATTTTACATTTCCACTGCCATTTGAGAATGCCAATTACTGCATATTCAGAAATGGTGGCCGTCCTTTTTAAAGCTTGTCAGTTTTAAAAATTAATATATCTCACTGCCTTATTCACATTTTTAATAGTGAAATTTATCATTTTTAATGATTACTATTTTGATTCTACCTAATTGTCTGTTAAAACTTTTATCCATTATTTCATTGAACATTTGTCTCTTTCACATAAAATTAAAACTCAAAATAAAATCATAATAGTCTTGCTTGATACCCAGAAACTTTCAATTTTGATACTGTCTGACCAGTCAAGTTTTCTCTTTGTGATTTCCTAACTTTCATGTTTAGAAAAGCCTTTCCCATTTCAGCGTTTAACTATTGACATATTTTCTTTAACTCTTTTGTTTCATCTTGACGTCCTTATTTCTTAAACACCTGGAATTTATTTTTGGCATGGTTTGAGAATGATGATTTAATATATGGTAGCATGAGAGCCCATTAATCATTATTTCCAAAATCTCCTTATTTTACTAGGTTAACTTTTAAAAGTCATTTTGTTAGGGCCAGGCACAGTGACTCACATCTGTAATTGTAGTACTTGGGGAGGCTGAGGCGGGAGGATCATTTGAAGTCAGGAGTTCAAGATCACCCTGAGCAACAGCGAGAACCTGTCTTCTACTAAAAAACAGGAAAATTAGCTGGGTGTGATGGCAGGTGCCTGCAGTCCCAGATGTTCAGGAGGCTAACGCAGGAGGACTGTTTGAACCCAGGAATTTGAGGTTGTTGTGAACTACACTGACGCTATAGCACTCTAGCCTTGGCAAAAGAGTGAGGCTCTATCTCAAATAAATAAATAAATAAATAAAAGTTTTACAGGTTCCCCATCAACCTCCCTAAAAAAAATCATTTAGATTCTTACTGAAATTGCACTAAACTCTAACTAAAAATCAGAAACAATGTAGAGAAGAATGCTGATACTGGACCTAGGAGGCAAAGTTATCTTGGACTTGAATGTCACAAAAATACTTCTAGTATTGCATTTATTTAGCAAAACATTGACTTTTGGTTTCAGACAGAAGAATTTTAGTGTATTAAATCACCCTCTATTTTTATCACTAAATGTTTAACTGAACATGAATTTTATATTTTATCAAATGCCTTTCAATAACTTTTTGTGATTACAAATGTGCTACAATGCTTTATCGTATAGATCTCATGTATAAAGAGGTGTTTTATCAGTAAGCCATCCCTTAATTACTGGCATCAGTTCTATTCATGACACTGTATTATCCTGACTATGTCTATTTTGAGTTGCTTGCACTTTAGTTAACATTTTTACATATTTAATCTGACAGTCTTTTTGAGGATAATTTTTTGGACAAGT